AAGTCTGCAAAAATAAATGAGTTGTCAGGGCCGAACGTGATGTCCTAGTTCAAAGTAGGAAGGAGAAAGACAAACTGTCATAAGCTTACCGTGAGGGAAGACCGGAGGATCCTGTCTTCGAGGGCTTGGTCGTCATCGGCCCCGAGAGCTGCCCTGTCGATATCGAGGGTTATACCTCTCAGGAGCGCCCTCGGGTCAGCCGTGCCATTCAACACGGCCGTGCTAGCCGGAAGGGAGAGCGTGAGGACCTCGAGAGATGGCTCCCGGGCACCCCTCGGCACCTGCGCCATCGGCATCTCTGGAGGGTCATCTACAATCACCACCGGGGGCATCCTTCGCGGCGTCCCCCTTCTTCGATTTCTTGGGGGCCTGGGGGGCTCCTTTGCCGACAGCTTCCTCTTCGCCGCAGCAGCATCGCCCTCGGGCTTCTTGGGAGGCGCACCGACGGGCTTTTGGCCGCCAGCGTCCGGCCCCTTCGGATCCTTGGCCGGTTTGTTCTTGAGTCGGGCGAGGCCTTTGACGTTCATCATGTTTACTGGAATACCTGCAAAACAATGAGGGGTTAGGATCGAGGGGTCACTAATAAGTGGCATAAAAGAATAAACGACGCAAGTAAATAACGTGCTAAGATATGAGGGTGAGAATGCCCTCAGCCACTACCTCCGGAGGCTCCCTCAAACACTGGGAACTTCTCGTCTGTTTCCCCCAGGAACCGGTACCCGCCGGAACCCGAGGGTGTAGAGATCTGCTTCCTTGGTGCACTCCTTGATGGTGATATTCTTGTCCCGGCCCTCCGGGATCATGGCCAGAATCCTGCCATCTTTCTCGAGGGCGGCGCTCCTCCTCTTCTCGTGCCTCCTGAAGCGGTCACGTAGCTCCCTCGGGAAGGGGCTCTCGGCTAACTTCACATAGCACCACCGGTCCTTCCACCCCTTGTTCGAGGAGGGCGCCTCAGTGAAGAGTTTGAACATGGACACCTGCTGCAAATTGGCGAATCCCTCGGCATTCGCGTGCCCCCCCCCCCCCCCGGTACAAGTTGAAGCTCTGGAAGAAGAGGTCCAGGCTAGGCGTCACCCCCGAGACTTGCAGAGCTGGAGGAAGCCAGTAATGTAAGAATGGCTGTTCGGGGTCAGCTGGCAGGGAACCAGACCCACGAACCGAAGGTACTCCCGGAGGAAGGGGTGCAGGGGGAAGCGGAGCCCCATGGATACCGAGAGAACGTGCACCGCAATGCAGCCCTCGGGAGCCCGGGAGAGGACGTCATCCGGACCCGGTGTCACCACGATGGCCGAGGGGCCCACGTGAAGCTGGGTGACATAGATGTCCGCCGCATCAACCTTCGACTTGATCTCCAATGCGGCGGTGTTGAGATAGGAGTACCCCTCGGGCATATCGAGGGGCTTCCCTTGATCTGCGACACTCCCCTTTTTCTTGGGAACAGCTACCTTAGCTTTCTTCTTCCCGGGGGCCACCCGGATGGGAACTGCGTCCAGCGGCCGAGAGGTGCTGGCCTCACCGGCACCCCGAGGGGGGAGCACAGCAACGGTGACCCTCGCGCTTTCTCTTTGTGCCTCTTCTTCAGCTGCTTGCCAGGCGAGGGCCAACTCTTCGTCCTCACATTCTTGCTCGAAGCCCTCGGCTTCCGCCTCAGCTACGAGGGCTTTCTGCAACTCCAGGGCAACGACGGCATCCTGTCCCACCGAAGACTGTGCACTTGAGGACTCCACGTCCGAGAGGACTTCATCCTCCATCGAGGGCGCCCCCGAGATATCTTGAGAATCACTCTGGGACGACATTCTGACACTAGTTCGAAGGCTCGTGGACGCTAGTGTTTTCTAAATATTCTATCTCCTAGCCTAAGGGCACAATACAGGTAGCTAAGAGGTGAAGGGCAAGTGGAGAACTGACCTTAGGAACAGAGGATTCAACCGAGGGCTGCTGTTTCTCTCTCTAGAAAAATTGGCAGAGCTTCGCTAACAAGGTTTTCGCACACGGAGGAATGCCTGGCCTTGGGGTATTTATAGGCGCTGGAATCCGGGCTTGGGCCCGGAAACCGGGCCTCCGGACGGACCGTCATCATTACGCACCGTGTTTTCACCCAACCGGTGACGCCGCCCACGGGCAGCCAACCGTCACGTGCCACGTGTACCCCCCCCCCAACGGCTATATCCTGACGTTACATATTCCAACGGCTATATTTCCAACGGCCATATTCTGGAAGCCCCCGGGTTTTCTACTTCACTCCACTTCGTCAAGGAGAGCCTCCGGGTACACTTACCCAGAGACGCCCCCGGGTTGTGCCCCACACAGCACATAACAGACGCCTTCAGGATCACTCCTTCAGAAACCCAGGGCTTCATATCAGGGCACCCCTCGGGGATTCCCCCTCAACACTGCAAAACCGGGTAGCCCATGGCACACAGGTAATGGGAGCCCTCAGGTATCTTCATCACCAACTAATAAAAAAACAGTGGACCCCCCGGTAACAACTCCACTGCTGCCCTCATCCAGCAGGCCCTCGATCCCCGGATTGAGGGGCTCCCCTTCGGCACCCCCAGGACATCAACAGCAAGCCTTCGGCTAATCAACACATGAGCCCTCAGAAGAAGAAGAGCCCTCGGCATTACCGTTATTCTCCATTTTTGACCAAGGTTTGACATTTTCGATTCATCATTGGGGGAATCCGGTGCACTCTTTTTCCCTCATTAGGATTTTTTCCCACAGGGTTTTTTCTAATGAGGTTTTTAACGAGGCATCCCCCCAAAATGAAACGAAAAGCGTCAGCCTTCGGCCCACAACAGCAACGCAACTACTCTACTCCTTTTTACCACTTTACAAGTGCCTCAAGGAGTGGGGGACTGGAGGACCCCCTCGGGAAAATCATTAAATTACAAAATTAGTGAAATTCCAACAAACGACAAAGCAAGCCCTCAAGTCCCGACATGTGGGTAACTGAGGGACTGCCTTCGGCAGGGACATAAAAGCAACAACTCCTCACCAACTTCAGAGATCACGACAGGACAACATCAAAGGGCAAGCACAAATTACTCCTTTTCCCTCAAATACCTTTCGGCAAAAGGAGTGAGGGACTCCTGATGGAGTATATGGCCCGAGAACACCCGGACCACAGACTCCTACTACACCAATGAAGGCCCAACAGGCCCAGGAGACCCACCAGGCCCAAATCACGGCGCCCAGAGTACTAAGCAGCCCGCAATACGCACCAGGGGTGCCCTCGGCCCCCTGGCCGAAGGCTCTAAACTCTCACAGAATGAGTTTTCCAGGCAAACTAAGAAACTGGGAGAAAACGGCGAAAACAGTAGCCCTCGGCACCTGGAGCCCTCGGCACTCAGGGGTCCTCGGCACTAAGAGCCCTCGGCTAGTCCTCTGCAGCCGAGGGCACCTCTCCCGACATGATATCCGCCTCGCATGCGTACAGATCACCGTACCCTGTACAGACGTCCCATCCAACAGCCGCATTAAATGCGGCCACATGCGGCTGCCAACGCCAACCAGTTGAGGTGACCCCTCGGCCAATAGGCCCTTGACACGTGTCCCTGCCCGGCATTTATTGCTACTATAAATAGCACCCCATTTCCCCATTTGTAACCACGCTGAAAACGCTCCACATTTATAATACACTCTCTCTCTCTACATTCACTTGCTATGACTTCTCTCTAAGTTATTCCCAGCAATAACCCCTCGGATATATACCCCCGGGTGGACTATCCATCAGCTATCAGTTATTAAAAAACTCATAAAAGTATCTTTTCAGCTAGTTGTGCCAAACATAACCTTATAAAAGCTAGAAACTACAGACTTATCTGAGATACTACTCACTATAGCATCTCAAAAAAAATCTTTTATTTTTATAAAAGCTATTAAAAATTGACATGCCAATTATATAACTAGAAATTTTTAAGGATTTTTTAAACAGTACAAAAGCTAGAAGGTAGGGACTTATGAATGTCAAACATAGTCTCTTTTGAATGTTCCAACTAATTTTTTTTTTCTATTTTAGGAAACGCTCAACATACTTATATGACAAAATAATGATGAAATATTAAACAAAATACATATGATAACACCATAGTTAGCATCAATGATCTCATTATGATATGTATACATAAAAAAGTTTCAAATATTCTAATTATCTTATTTATTTATTATCTAAAAAAATTAGAACATACGCTAGTTGTTTTTCAATATGACGCTTGAATTGGGAAGGAAGTAGTAGCAATTTAACTAAAGTTGTAGTTATTGTAACCATTTAGGTAAGGAAATAAGCTTTTTCATTAAAAAATTTATATACATAAAATTGTTGAATCTCTCGTGCAAGACATGCTCTTTGAGAGGAAATTCAAAAAATATGGTAGTTTTGTAAGTGTCATTCCAAAAACGGGACTTAGCTTTATTAGATGAATTAACGGGATTCGGAAACCCCTCTTCCGAATAGGATGATGTGCAATGGCTGGGAGGGGGCAAGGTTTTTTAAAATCCATGGGAGTTTAGATTATTAGTCTTGCCCCTCCCTCCCACCCAATCTATTTCTGCCCATCATCCCGTTCGGAATTGCTCTTTAATCTCCCATTCTTAGAAAATCTAGAGAAAAACTTGTTATTTTACCCAGGTTTTGGGTAAATTGGACAAACCATCGTAATTTGGACAATATAATTTCTTTTAGTAAATTACATGAAATTGCTCTGTAGGTGAATCCTGAGTTACCTTTCTCCATTCAGGCCATCGCCATTTGCCAATGCCGATTTCGAAAATTGTACGCACCTTCAACTATTCCAGAGGGCGACTTGCCCATTCAATTATGGTGATATAATATCGTTCAATCTGTAGAATAAACAAGAGTCGATATGTCCGAGTGGTTAAGGAGACAGACTTGAAATCTGTTGGGCTACGCCCGCGCAGGTTCGATCCCTGCTGTCGACGTTTTTTTATTTTTTATTTTTGGCATTGTTTTTTGTTTTTCCCAGGCAAAAGCAAACAGACTGAAAAACGTCGATAATGAGGTGTGGGGGATAAGCAATACGACCAAATGAGATAATTAGTTGAAAATTGTTATCTACCTCATCATCATTTTTCACATAAAGTTTCAAACCATACAAAGGTAGATACATAGATACGGAGTATATTAAAGAAAAGAAAATGAACAATTTTCCTGTCAACTTCACATATTCCATCGATTTTCCTGGAACCACGGGCTGTGCAATCCACCTTAATCATCATCTTTGAACTCTCTGCACAACCCAATAACACCCTGCTTAATATATCTCAACAAACATAAATAGAACATTTAAACAAATTCGAGATTTAGGGAGTGTTTGGAGCAGAAGCAGAAGTTAGAGTGTTTGGGTGAAAATGCAGAAGTGATTCTGGTGCTCTAAACACCCCCTTTGTTTATTTATATGGGGATTGGGGATATGTCATTTTTAAATGTTTAAGGGGGTGTTTGGAACTGATTCTGCTTCTGCTTCTTTTTTTAAGGCAGAAGCAGAATCAGAATCAGTTTTCAGAAGCTGGTACCCCCAGTTTCTAAAAAAACTGATTCTAGGAGTAAATTAGAGCACCAGAATCACTTCTGCATTTTCACCCAAACACTCCAACTTCTGCTTCTGCTCCCTGAAGGAGCAGAAACAGTTTTAAGAATTAGATCCAAACACCCCCCAAAGACATTTCTTTTCACTCTGGTTTGCTTTATTTATGTGTTCTGTACCACTTATGGCTTCAACTGCTCTTTCTAAGTCTTATTGGGAAAGGAATGTTTGGTTTGAAGATTTTGCGACCAGTTTCAGAGAACAAGGTATGTTTGGTACTTTACTACTTCATGCATATGTGTAGATGTATTTGGAAGAGTTTCCCTCTGAAGATCAACCTTGAAAGAGAAGCAGCCAAAATCTTACTTGTATATGCTTGTATGTATCCTTATATATGGCCGGTGTGGATTGTTTAACATGCTCGTAAGAAAGTGGCTCTTGGGAAAGACCAATGTTGAAATCCGATTCATGTGTGCTCTTTGAGACTTTTTTACTCATTTGAGTTTAACCAACTCTTGTATCAATATTAAAACATAGGTTTCATTCTTAAAGGTTAACACTATGGACATTAGTAGCCTAAAGCTTATATGTTAGCTTCATATTTGGCTCGTGTAAATGATTTAACAGCTTTTTTAAATAACCAACAATTTAGTCAACCTTTTATGAAAGCATTTTTTTTATGGATGACTTTCAAGTTCATCTGTTATAATAACTTTCAAGCTACACAACCTTTTAAATACCAAATGAAATTTTGGGCTCAGTACCTGCGATCAAGATATCGGGGTTGGATACCACTGCCTTGACACGTTGTGCATGTCATAGAACCAACGCCATCACAGTTGATGCAACGCGAGACTTCCTTCTCACCCCCTCCAAGCTCAACTGTAACCGTCCCCGTCCCCACACAAAATCTGCATCTTTCTACACTCACAATTAAAAAACACTTTAGAGTAATACAGATGACAACTTTTGAACAGCCAAATAACCCTTTCACACATCAATGATTTGCACATGTTCAGTTTAAGGAATGGGGTTATTTATATAGATCTTCACTTTGCATTGCACATACACTCGGTTTGGTTGAGCCTGGTTCATTTTGGTCATCTAACTTTAATTGTAGTAGCAAATCACTTATCATTTATGACCTCTGTCATCTTTCAAAGTTAAATTTGCAATTGAAGTGGCAAAATTTAGTGACCAAATCGAAACTCAATGCAAAGTTAAGTGACCATACTTGATACTTTATTTTTTGAGAAGTAAAAAACTTTATACTACCTCCGTCCCAAAAAATACTTCCCGGTTACTTTTGGCACGCTTATTAAGAAAGTGGAATAAAGTGAAAATGTATGGTTGTAGTTGTGTAAGAAAAAGGTAAAATGAATGTGAGCCACACAAATTGTCCAAAAAGGGAAAGTGGGAAGTATTTTTTGGAACGACCCAAAGAGGAAAGTGGGAAGTATTTTTAGGGACGGAGGGAGTACTAATTAATTTCCCTGTTTAATACCATTAGAGTTCAGATTTCAGAAATCTCCTAAACTTCTTTACGAAAAATTTGTGCTTGCACCCCATATTTACTTGGACTTTGGACTTTGCACTCTTGTATCAACCAGTTTATTATCTCAATTCAACCCTACCACCAAATTGTTCGTCCAGTTCCAGGGGGGCATCGGTGGGGCTCCCACAGGATAATGCACTGCATCGCTTTTTTAACTTGAGTCCCAATATCCCAAAAGTTGATTTTTTCTTAGATTGTGCACCCATTATGAGCAAGTTTTTACTTCACCACACACTTTTACGACTTTGGGGTGAAAACTCTAAACAGTGGAAAGTCCAATTTCAATGTAGACATGGGAAGCAAACACAAATTTCCCTATTTCATTGCCAATGTCTACAATTAGAAGGAAACACCCTTTGGAACAGAAACATAAGATCAAAATCGCAGCATATGAGAATATCATGGAGTACATTTTTAGGATGTTGTCGGGAACTATTTTATCAAATTCAAACTGCTTCCAACTTATTAAGTCTTTAAGTTTGTGCACTTCTTCTGAATGATGAAATGGCCAGTTGACCATTACCCAATCCTACAATCACATTCTTTATAAAAGTTTATATTCAACCTCAAAAAGAGAGCAGTGCATCTCTGTTCTATCAATAACAAATGAACCATCAAAGCCTAAAAATGCAAACAAAACGAGTAATGAGTGATATAGGGAGTGGTGGCCTTTGGGGACTTACGAGCACCAGAACCATTGCAGGGAAAGCATGGTTGTGTGTTCTCTCGTTTGGCCTACAATACAGCCACACAAACATTTAAAAATCAACCAAGTCTCAAGCTCCATTCTAATTTATGTGACATTTGAAATGAGCTCAAGAATCCCTACAGTACAGAAGAGTTTGAAACCTTAAAATCACTACAAGGTGGGATGTCTACGCCTTACATGTTGGTGAAATAACTCTGTATTAAGATGTAAGATTGCATCCTCAAATGTAAAAAAAACAGCTAAAACCATACGTAGTATATCTCAATATGGAATCAGAGTCCATCACCAACCAGGGGTGGAGACAGGAGGAGGGGGCCTGGGCTCCCCAAGAAAAAATTTGTGATGTATATACATATGTATAAATATTTATAGGGAGTAAAAAATATAGTGAAATTTTAAGTTTTGACCTCCATAAGATAAACTCTTTAAGCCTGCCCTCCCTAACCTACCATTTCTAGCTCCGCCACTGTCACCAACAAAGATCCGACCAAGGCCTCAAGAGAGCATATGTATTTCAAGACTAATCTGCTATAACGAGCTACCTTCGTGTAGGACCTTCTGGTCAAATATAAATGTACAAACTCGAATATAGGGCCTTGGACCGCTCATTTTATAAGGTTGACCTGGAATTGAACCGTGTCTTAAATCTTAATAGACTAAAGCTTATCGAATAATACTACTACATCTATGATCTATGATCTTCAACCTTAAAATCATAATAAGGTTGAAATAGGACTTACATTTTGGTGGAAATATAACTTAGCGGATAGGCCTAATGTAGCTTAAGTCACAAACATCAACGTGAATTATCTAACACGCCTTATGAGCTACTGTTTCGTGAATTATCAATGTGAATCGGTAAAAAATACACTTAAATCCACAATGGGAGAAAAGGATGGGTTAGTAGGACTAAAGGATGAACCAGCTAATATATTGGTTTCAATCTCCTGAAATTTAGCCCAAGTATATCTAATTCATCAATCCAATGCTCATTTCTATCAAATACCGAGAGAAACTTACAGACTTATTAATTTGGATTTCATAGAATACTGGAATTCCAATCCCAACCGCAATGCTAGCAACCCCAGCTGTAATTGCTGCTATCTAAAGAACAAAACCTTAATTTACTTGCATGAAAATAACAGAAATCGTAATAAAGTGGGGAATCAAATTAGAGAAGATAAAAACCGTGTTTTGGTCAAGATCAGCTCTAATACATGGAAAAGAAGCTGCTGGGCGCTGGGTTTTGAAGAGTTTCTGGAAAGGAGATGTACAGAGCTTGAGAGGATCACTTAGAAATGGAGACTGAAGCTTAGAAGTAGATAACATTTTGCTGCGACTACTATTTGTTAATTTTAAAAAGTTTTCCCTCGGTGAAGGAATCTGTTCTTGTTGGTTTGATGATGAGAGTTTTGTTGCCTAATTGGCCTTGGATGTAGAAGTGAAGTGGGAGAATTGGAGAAATGAGAACAAGTGTTAACAATGGAGGAGATGACTTAGGATTTTGTGGGGTCTTTTTCATTTTTCACCAGAAAATATTTCTAGCCAACCTATTTTTCTATCCGTTCAAATGCAGCTTGATTAGTGGTGGGAAAAACCAAATCCGAAAATTGGCCTGACTCTGCCCTAATGATGTTTCCGGGTTTTTTCTTTTCAACCAATGGAACAAAAGAATTGGACAAAAAAAGTATCGGGCTGTATTGGGCGGCCTGTTATCTTCTATTAATCATACCACTTCTTATTCTATTATTAGTCAAACTCTTTTATTCTTAATGTATTTCACCGCATGTGTGCGGTGGAAAAGTCCTAGTGGAATACTGCTAGGTATTCAGATGTATTTAACCTGCCTTTGACATATGAATGGAGACGAAAATAATTCTTATTTGTTTAAACACCTTCCGATCATGGTATCAGAGCGTTAATAGGTGTTGCCACGTTATCATGGCAATTGGAGAGGACGAAACTCCTCCCTCTTCATCTGTAATCAAAATCGATCATAACTCTCCATTTTTTCTCGGACCACAAGATCGTCCCGGAGATTTTATTACTCCGGTGCGACTTAATGGAGATAATTATGACGATTGGGCATCATCTATACGATTGGCACTCCGGGCTCGACGAAAATTTGGATTTGTTGATGGCACGATCGAGACCTATGAAGATCGTTGCACGGAAGATGATTGGCTGACGATTCATTCCATGCTAGTATCGTGGATTACCAACACAATAATGCCCGAGGTAAAGAATACTCTCTCAAAATATGATGATGCCAAACTACTGTGGGACGATCTCAAAGAGAGATTTTCGGTAGTAGATGGTCCTCGTATTCATCAACTTAAGGTTGATATTGCAAGATGTGAACAATTGAATTCTTCTACTGTTAGTGGCTATTATGGACGTCTAAAAATGCTGTGGGACGAATTGAACAATTATGAACCACTTTTGACATGTACTTGTGGAAAGTGTATATGCAAACTGGGTGAAGCTCACGCTCAGAGACGTGAATCGGAGAGATTTCACCAATTTCTGATGGGCTTGTCGGCTGACTTGTACGGCCAACTACGGTCCAATCTTCTGTCTCAGGTGCCGCTACCAAGTCTGAATCGTGCCTACCACCAAGTGATGCAAGAGGAACGTGTTCGTGGGACTGCTCAGTCAAAGGAAATCAAGCCGGACATAATGGGTTTTGCCGCCCAAGCTTTTGGTCATGGCGGTGGGAAATTGCCGAAGCAAGATAAATCACATCTTCTTTGTTCTCACTGCGGTTATAAAGGACATGAAGTGACCTCGTGCTTTGAATTGCGTGGATACCCTGAGTGGTGGGGCAGTAGGCCACGTGGGAAGATTAAAGGACCTGGGAACAAGAAAAGTGTTGCTGTCAGCGAAAATCCTTCTTCCTCAAAATTCAAAGCTCATGCCACTACACTGCCATGTCACATATCCGAATCAGGGAATGTAGGTGCTTCACAAATCAATGACTCTGGTACGTTGACTTCACTTCCAGGGGGCGGTGGGTTCACAAATGAGCAGTGGAAAACAATTCTTGCCACGATCAGTGCTACTCAAACTAATTCTGGTAAAACATCGGCTCCTTGTGATCGAATGACGGGTGAGTTTGATCTTTCCTCTTGGATTATTGATACCGGCGCCACAAATCATGTTACCGGTCGCATTAATTATTTGACAAATCTTGTTCCTGTTACTTGTGTGGTTGGTTTGCCTGATGGACAACACGTAAAGGCTACACAACAGGGATGTGTTCGTTTAACGGAACATGTGGTGTTGAAAAATGTTTTATTTGTGCCTCAATTGCGGTGCAATCTAATCTCTGTTTCTCAGCTTGCGGATGATTTACGTTGTATTGTTCAATTTAAATCTAATGTTTGTGCTATACAGGACCTACACTCGAGGAAGCTGATTGGGATGGGTGAACGGAGGAACGGACTTTACTATTTTCAGCATCAACTTCAAATTTCTTCGGTTAATGCCGTGAACCTTACAGCTGATCTTTGGCATCGTCGTATGGGGCATCCTGCCGGGCAAATTGTGAAGACACTTTTTCACACTAATGATAGTGTCACTTTTCCCTGTGATATTTGTTTTCGTGCTAAACAGACAAGAAACTCTTTTACTCTGAGTGATAATAAATCATCTGCAATTTTTGATTTAATTCATTGTGATCTATGGGGTCCTTATAATACGCCAGCTACGTGTGGGGCAAAAAGCTTCTTGACTATTGTGGATGATTTTTCTCGTGCTGTGTGGATATATCTTTTGGTAGACAAAAAGGAGGTGTTTAAAATATTTATGTCCTTTATTGCTATGATTTCTCGTCAATTCTCAGCTTCTATTAAAAGAGTCCGTAGCGATAATGGTACTGAATTTTATTCGCTCAGAAAATACTGCACAGAAAATGGGATTTTATTTGAAACCTCTTGTGTAGGGACACCTCAACAAAATGGTCGCGTGGAACGCAAGCATCGACATATTTTAAATATTGCTCGTGCTCTGCGTTTTCAGGGCCACTTACCGATTAATTTTTGGGGAGAATGTGTGCTGACTGCTGGCTATCTGATTAATCGCACACCCACTGCCTTACTTAAAAATAAAACTCCTTTTGAGATTTTATATGGCCGTGCCCCTGTCTTTGATGACTTGCGAGTATTTGGTTGCTTATGTTTTGCTCATAATCAGCGGGCAAAGGGAAATAAATTTACTAGTCGAAGTCGTAAATGCATTTTCATTGGTTATCCTTTTGGCCAAAAGGGGTGGCGAGTTTATGATCTCGAAACCAATGAGTTCTTCGTTTCCCGGGATGTCCAGTTTTGTGAGAATATATTTCCTTTTGCTGAGTCACCTGGTGATGAAAATGTGTATCCAGAAAATCTCATTGATCTGCCCATTGACAAGTTTGACCAATATTTGTCTGGTCCGGCCACGCAATCTGTCGCACGATCACATGATCCTTCTCCGTCTGGTCTGCTGCCTTCAGCTACAAGTTCTGCTCCAAATGTTGCTCCCTCGTCATCAATTGATCTTGTCATGGGTCGGGATCAGCGTACCAAATACCCATCAGTCAAGCTTCGAGAATTTGTTACTCATACGGTTGCTAGTAAAAGTCCATTCCCTTCGTCATCCACCTCTCAGCTCTCTTCAGGTGCTCCTTTTCCTTTAGCACATTACATTAATTGCGATAATTTTTCTAAGTGGCACCGGGAGTTTCTTGCGGCTGTTACTACAGGTATTGAACCTCGTACGTTCGCTGAAGCCATGAAAGACGAAGGTTGGCGGCAAGCTATGCAGTCCGAGATTGCAGCTCTTGAAGATAATAGCACCTGGGATTTGGTTCCTTTGCCTCCTGGTAAGCACGCGTTGGGCAGCAAATGGGTGTACAAGATCAAATATAACTCTGATGGTAGTGTTGAACGTCTCAAGGCACGCTTAGTTATTCTTGGGAATCACCAAGTTGCCGGCATAGATTACAATGAAACATTTGCCCCTGTTGCTAAAATGGTAACTGTACGTGCTTTCTTGGCAGTTGTTGTTGCTAAGAATTGGGAGTTGCATCAGATGGACGTACATAATGCTTTTCTTCATGGTGATCTACATGAGGAAGTCTATATGAAGTGTCCGCCTGGCTTTCAACCTTCCTCTCCAAATAAGGTGTGTAAGTTGAAGAAATCTCTTTATGGCTTAAAACAGGCACCTCGCTGTTGGTTCGCTAAATTGGTTGGTACTCTCAAAACTTATGGGTTTCTTCAATCTTACGCGGATTACTCCTTATTTACTTATACTCAGGAGACTATTCAGATTAATGTATTGATTTATGTGGATGATCTGATTGTGTCTGGAAATAATTCTGAGGAGCTCCGAAATTTTAAATCATATTTGCATCAGTGCTTTCACATGAAAGATTTAGGTGTTCTCAAATATTTTTTGGGTATTGAAGTGGCTCGAAGCACAGATGGCTTATTTCTTAGTCAACGAAAATATACTCTTGATATTATTTCTGACTCTGGCTTACTCGGTGCTAAACCAGCTACCTGCCCGATTGAACCACATCATTCTCTTGCTCGTGCCACTGGTGATCTTCTTTCTGATCCAGAGCCTTATCGTCGCTTGGTAGGGCGACTGATCTACCTTGCTGTCACACGACCAGACTTGTCCTACTCCGTTCATATTTTATCCCAATTCATGAATCAACCACGCACAGATCATTGGATGGCTGCCTTGCGTGTTGTTCGCTATTTGAAAGGCACTCCTGGTCAAGGTATTTTACTTCGTGCCGATAGTTCTCTTTCTTTGACTGGTTGGTGTGACTCAGATTGGGCGGCCTGTCCACTTACTCGTCGTTCTCTTTCTGGTTGGGTGGTCTTCTTGGGCCATTCTCCCGTTTCCTGGAAGACTAAAAAGCAAGTCACTGTTTCTCGTTCCTCCGCAGAGGCTGAATATAGGTCCATGGCTGCCGCTACTTGTGAACTTAAATGGTTAAAGGGTCTTTTATTGAGCTTGGGGATTCGCCATACTTCTTCCATACCTCTTTACTGTGACAGTCAGTCCGCTATTCATATTGCTCAGAATCCGGGTTTTCATGAGCGTACCAAACATATTGAAGTGGACTGTCATTTTGTTGGTGATGCTATTCAAGATGGTCTTATTTCTCCCTCATATGTTCCCACTACTATGCAGTTGGTTGATATTTTCACCAAAGCTTTGGGCACGACTCAATTTCATTCATTACTCTCCAAGTTGGTCATTTGTGATCTCCATGCACCAACTTGAGGGGGGGTATTGGGCTGTATTGGGCGGCCTGTTATCTTCTATTAATCATACCACTTCTTATTCTATTATTAGTCAAACTCTTTTATTCTTAATGTATTTCACCGCATGTGTGCGGTGGAAAAGTCCTAGTGGAATACTGCTAGGTATTCAGATGTATTTAACCTGCCTTTGGCATATGAATGGAGACGAAAATAATTCTTATTTGTTTAAACACCTTCCGATAAAAAAGAAAACTCCGTCTCATAAACAGACCCTAAAATCTATAACCCGATTCGGATCGATAAAAACCTGACACAATTAACTTTAATATAAAATTAATATAATATAGGAATCTAATTTTATAAATTAATTCTAATATATGATTATAATCATGGTGGATGAAAGATTATTTAATACTGTAACTTTTAGTGACTACAAATATGTTCAATTTTATATACCGTAATGACCATGAAAATATATTTATAGTAACTTTAGTCACATTTTTATTTCCATAAATTTTATTTAGTAATTTTGAGAAAACCTATATTATTCATTTATATGCATATTAAACAAAATATTAAGATAATTATCATCTTTGAATTTGAATTATTTGTGATTTGAGAGACTAATATTTGTGTTGTTACTAGTTTGTACCCGGGCGATGCCCCGGGTAAAACTTCCATATGAAATTTTAATTAACAAATTATATAATATTTCTATAGTATGAGTTTCTTGATTTCCATTTGCAAAGGCATTGAATTATTTATCAATAGTATAATAACAAAGAAGAATATATAACACCTCAAAATGATTAAGAGATACGGAGTATAAAGTATTTGAAAAATGTGTTTCTAAATTTTGGAAAACGTCTATGTAAATAATATTATGGTGTTAGTGAAAAATCTCTGATCTTTAGAATGAATTAAAGACTTTAATCTATTTTTTCTCTTGATCCTTGATATGACAACACAAAACTTGTTGTGCGTGGAGACACTTTTCTCGAGATAAGTTTCTAGAAAATTCTTCTTCAATGACCAATTTACATATATACATACTTATTGATGACTAAAAATTGCTTATTTAAACCTACTCTGTTTGAATTTTTTATAACCCTGAGTCGTCACTATTGATAAAGACCTCATGCAAATTTGAAGAGTTGTCCAAGAAAGATAGACAATGGGCATATGAACTTCAAATGTAAAAATGTGATATTCATTTTGAAAAATTCAATTGTATATTTGAGCTAAGTTATATATTAGCGTACTATATATAAATATAATATATTTGTTCCTCCTATTTTTATTACTCCTGATGGAATGTGTTCCCATATAATATCAATAGGATGAGGCTAGGCTTGTTCACCAAACCAAGTCCTAGGGCAAACTTGATTCTTGGATTAACGAAAGAATTCCAAAACTGCAACCAAAGTCGAGCCCTCAACCAAGGCCGAGGGTGAGGTCAAACTTGGTTCTCAGGATAGCAAGATAACCCCGAAATTGCAGCCGAGATAGGATTCGTTACACCTAAGCCGGGCACCATCATGCATCTAAGCTAAGCCCATTACACTCGAGTTGAGCATCAGTGCGGCTGAGCTGAACAACGTTACACCTGAGGTGAGTACCACCATGCATCTGAGCTGAGCAACCACGCTTCCCCCAGCCATGCAAGCCGAGCTTGAGACACGATACAAATATATGTACTTAGACATTTTGGCACAAATACTCCAAACATATTTGAGATGATATCATCGTGGAATAATTGACTCTAGAGCTGGCATTCGCAAATTAGATGTCATGTTGTACATGTGTGACCACCCAGGCATTCCATTACAAAAGGACAAACATCTTTTGACATGCAATCAATCAAGCAATCAATCAGCAATTCTATCAACAATCAGTCTAGATGCTTCTGTACACAACTAGCACTCTAATTAGGTTAGTTATTTTTACTTGTTGTCCAAACATATAGTTTTAACTACTCCGAAATCTGAGTATAAAAGATTGTGGATATCAAAAAGATCACCCTTCAGATTGTGGATGGAGATCCGAAATCTGAGTTTTGCATACCTTTACTTTGCCATGCATTTTTAATACTCAAAGCTCTCCCTCTCTAGCTTCACTCTAGAACTTTCATACCCACGATCTTATGGCCTACAGACTCCCTTCCTCCCACCTTAAGCTTCTCATTTTTCTCTTGATAAATGCGTGGTGTACACCTTTTGTATACACCTTTTGTGTACACCTTTTGAGTACACCTTTTATGTACACCTTTTGTGTACACCCGTCTGTCCCCAGCAGACGAGTTGTCTGTCCACAGACAACTCTATATGTGGGAGTTGTCTATATAGAGTTGTCTGTGGACAGACAACTCATCTGCTGGGGACAGACGAGTGTACACAAAAGGTGTATACAAAAGGTGTACACCAAGCAAAGTTGTTTTCTCTTTTAGACTTCTAGGGTCTAGGTAAAACTTCTCATTTCTATTTTAGAAAATAACT